TTGAAGCAAGCATCAGATGTGATGCAATTACCTCACTCATGACTATATATATATATGTTTTTAAGTGGAAATTACTGCTCCAAGCAACACAATGTCCCTATTCAGTAAATATGCTTCTCGATACACCATTATTTCATTGCGTCACCGTGCCCTTGTAACGCGATATTGATTGAGAGCGAATTGACAGCCATAATGTCTAGAAAGAAATATTCTTGACGTTGACTGCCGCATGGCTAATGGAACAACCGAATTTCAGTGCCGTTATTATGGCGTCATGGATTCCCGAATAACCTTGAAATAGTGCACACGTCACGTCAGTATACACGAATAGTCTGCACATCTTCGCAGATGTGTAGCTCAGAAACTAAAGGGGCTCAGGTGTTCAGAAGGGCAAGGCGGTGAACTGCACCGAGTGATCTTCAAGATGACCAGTTAAGTTCAAAATTCCGTGCAAATGAACACTCCCTGTTATGAACACTCTTTCGAAGAGGGATTTAGGTTGCCGAGGCTTTGTCTCCGCTTTCACTAACAGGCCCTTTGGAACAAAACAAACTCGGCGAAATCCGAAAGGAAACCACAGATCTGCTTCGGACGACTCTAGATCGGCTTTCTCCTCTGAAAACATTACATGGCGTCGCTCCTGTTCGGTGTTGTTGCATTTCCAAGGAAGCCATCAATGGCTCCGATGATCCGCAACCGTGGCCCTGGCCGTCATCCTGTTGTGTAAAACGGGCCTCTTCCCCTTGAATCACATTCGTAGAACGTGATGCCATGCAGGACATGGCACGAATCTGGACACCACACCGATGACAAGTGTAATCAGCTTAACCCGCACCGCAGCCGTTGACTAGCACCGCGCGCCCGTCCGGTGCGCTGGTACCGGCATTGGCAGGTGTTTGTGACGGTACGCCCCCGCATCCCCCCCCCCCCCCCTCCCACAGAGCCTCTTACCGAGACCACCGCTCCCCTTCTCACCTTGGTAGAGAGCTTCCGGTACATGATCAGGGATGATCGCCATGCCGCGCCACAGTCCATTGAGGGGGGGGGGGGGGGGGGTCAACGAGACCAGTCGAGACCTGGTGCGTTGTGCTTATGCTGTGCACAGTCGCGTTGCGTTCACGATTATTTGGCGGCATTTTTCTCATTTCGAGGACAGCACTGCTGTGTGTCCACGTGTGTATTACAGCACCTGCTAATCAGGAAGATATAACCCGTCAGACGTATTTCGCTGTGTGGGGCGACGAATATGACAGCAGACGTGAATAGTATCAGCACATCGATCATGCCAAATTGGAAGCAATGAAGTCTGCCACCTTTTGGGAAATCACACGCAAATGTTTCTCAAAGGCATTAGATAATCTGTCTTTTATTTGGTTGAAAGGCACTGGCGTTTAAGGCTTCTCGCTCGAGTGTAGCTTTTCAAACAAGAGTGGTGGGATGCTTACTCGTCTTAGGGCTGACAAGGTTAACCAATTTTGAATGGTAGTATACCAAAACGAGAAGGTTCGAATTGCCCTTACCTTTATAGTTACTGCACGTAAAGTATGGGGACCTTAAAGACCTTAAGACCTAATATTTGTTGTAGTAACCAAAATAGCTTGGCTTTACGACCATGGATTTTCCCGACCAAGGATCGCTCGGTTGGGGCCGCACACGCTACATTTCAGGCCGATTTCAGAAAAGATGACATTCGCTGCTCCCGGTCTATGTCTGATACGTTTGCGTTACCTGATCGGTATATGATGTAATATGATGTGTATGATATGATATATTTAATAACGGCACGTGATGTGATAATAGCTGTGTGACCGGACCGTGGTAATCTCTTAATCGTGATCTCCTGATGATTTGCAGACGGTACATTCGCCTACGTCGTACAGCTGGTTTCACTCCTTTGCCTGTTCTGGTCCTCAGTATCTGACAGTAATCCTTAAAAACGACCCAGATGGGCGGCTCCGTGGTTTTCGAACGACAGAGCATGCCAGAAGCGTACGTCTACCTACACCCTTGCTGGTAGGCGATTACAATTTGTCCTTAGACAGAATGTGTTGCTTTCATGCAGCGCCGGTGTTTAATCTGGACCTGGTTTGAAACCATGTTCTTCGGCCTTTTGTAATGTTTTTTTGTCTTCCATCCTGATGTAATGAGGGATTTCAAATTCTTCTCATATTGTAATGCAGGAAAGCGTAGCCTGGTCCTGCAGGTACGTGGAAATGCGCTGAAAACGTCATAGCACGGCTTATAACAACTCTGGCTGTTATCGCAGGAGACTTCACGGCAGTGCGTTCATTCTCTGTCAATATCCATGCTCGCCAAAAGTGTGACAACCAGTAAATGACTAAACGCTCACGGCACACACGTTGAGACACACATCTTAGCATAGAGGTTGTACAACTCCCACTCTACCGGTTCCCAATGCTCCACAAGCTCTCCAGATATGCGGGCGGTGCACGCGCCGCGCCAGTCAAGCAGCAAGCCATGCACTGAATGGTAGCCGCTTAGGATAAGTGTGCAAGTCACTTAAGTGCCAGCCGGACCTTCTGCAGCACCCAAATGATCAATGCGTTGTTGTGTGCTTATACTGTCGTCTCCGATGCATCGCATGCGACGGACCGACAGCGCTTTTAAGCATCCAAATGGCCCCACCTTGGCTAGCAAATGACCTACAGCTGATTAAGATTTCGCTGGTAGAACAACAATGCTTAAATGTTGATCGGCAGACCAGCCTCTCCACGGTTCAGAGATCTTCTTCTGTGTCGGAGTATGCCCACAAGCATAGTAGCGCATGCTGTAGTATCGACTTGTCTTAGACGTCGTGCAAATGCGTCATGGCCAATCCGGTGTTTTTCAAGCTCTCATAAACCCAAGCTCTTTTCGAGCTCTTATAAACAGCATATTGCTTGCCGAGCAGGAAGACAATGCTTTTCTTTGCACGGTTTCTGAAATTTAAAGTTCCGAATATATGGCACGTAGCGGGAAGTTGCGCATCATGACCTCCACTGAATTGGACATTTATGTGCTGCATAAGATTCCACCAAACGGATTATTATTTGGATAGCCGAAAAAAGTAGCACTATAAGCTGTCGGAGCCCCACAAAAGTCAGCAGAATCTGTATCAGAAACGCGGTGTGAAAAGAGTCATCTTTACGTAATCCAAAGCTAATTCACATAACACGCTGGACTGCGAACTGTGCAGTTTCGTTGAATTTATGATGGAGAATGCAACTGGTGAAGTATAAACCGTTGTTGCTAATTCCTTCGTTCGTCGAACTCGCAGGCGCTGCCGTCAGAATGTTGCCTCTTGAAAAGCTGTTAACTTAAGTAGTCATGCACTTCAGCTTCCTGACGTCAAGTTTCCTATATTTCACGTTTTTACCTTCTCCACTTGTATCGGCTTGTCTTAGTTGTTTGTCATGGCTACGTGGTAGTTTTGTCCTATAAGAGGGATAGCCGCCCTCGTCCCACCATATGTAGCTCTGTGGATGTTAATGCTCCGGCTTTTTAAAAGGCTGGTCTTCTGAATAGAGCTCCCGTCAGGGGGCAAAAGGACATCAGCTAAATTAATTCCTCGCAAGGGGATATCTAGTCTAAAGAAAGTTTTGATGCCAACTGATATTTCATCACTGAGACACAAAAGCTTAAATCTGGTCTCATGCAAGATTCCATGAAGCCTGGTTGGGAAAATTGCTCTACAGCGCGTGATCATAATACCCTTAAAAAGTGGTGACAACTTAAATTTGTTCAAGCATCCTTAGCTGCAGCTGCATTCTGACAGAAAATTCGAAGACATTGGGTGTAGCCTTTATTCAGGTATCGCCCGGATTTGTAAGTTTTCCGTTCAGAGGAGCTTGCTTATCCAGATGTTGTGCCGACCATTGCGCTGGTCGCAGGGCTAACAAGCTCGCCTCTTAGGCCGCCTTGTGTCACGTGCCGCGCCGGCCGCGCATACATGCATGCATATATATATATATATATATATATATATATATATATATATATATATATATATATGTATATATATATATATTTATATAGGTGTGTGTGTGTGTGTGTGTGTGTGTGTGTGTGTGTGTGTGTGTGTGTGTGTGTGTGTGTGTGTGTGTCCTATGCATATATGTAAATGTAATTGTCTCACTGTAATTGTATGCTTGAGCATGTGACAAACTCAATAACACCTACGGCAAACCATTTGCCGTGGGGACTGCAACTTGGAGTGTTGCGGTGGATGAAGAGTGTGATTTGAAAGCATAGTGCTTCCAATCCGAATGTAAACGTTAGAATGCCAGTCATTATAGAACATTGAAATAAATTAATGGAGATCAATGGACTCAGTAAATCCGTCTTGTTCAACTGGTTGGATGAGCCATCGGCGTGAAACGCGCTGGGTTTTCCACTCCACCCGAAATGCATGCTGCTTCATGAACTCTGGTAAATTGCGCTCACCAATAGTCGTTACTGCAGCAACATTTGACAAGAGTAAAATCACTGATGATTTGCTGTTGCAGCTGGCAATTTACTAACTAACCACCATCACAATAAGTGACTTGTTCACGTCAATGCTAGCTCTGCCCGTGGCCTCACCCATGAGGCCACAGGCAGATTTGTGATGGAAATATGACGCGTTCGGATTCATCCCAAATGCAACAGAATGGGGTACAACGAGGTTCACAACAAGCAGAGCTTTACTGTCCTGTAGAAGGCACTGATGCCTGACGAGATGGCATTGCTTCAAAGTGACGTTATTTTTTTCAGGTAAGTTTTGTAGACCAGACAGGCCGCGTCCCTCGCTGTCTGTTGCTCCATAGCTTGAACGTGGTAGGCGTGACCATAGCAGTGCTCATTTTCTAAGCGCTGTTTCGCAGGAAAATACATATTATGCTGTCGTCACTTATTCCCAAGGTTGTCACAATTCGAACTGTGGACCGACGACAAGGAACAGTGGACTGATTCACAGATAGATCACGTTTGAACGACCAGACTGACTGTCGCTTCGGCCCAAATATATTGTATCTTGTGGCGGTGATAAAAAGGATTAATGTGTGGAGCAGGCTTTGTGGTTTACTCATTGACAAAAACTAGGTTTTATGGCATTTCAGTGGCAAGACTATCAAACATTCGACATTGGTGTACGCGGCGTGAAAGCACGGTCCAAGGATTCAAGAGAAGGTGTATAGCCATTGACCATGGAATGTGGTCAACTTAGAGAGCGCATCAGAAGACGAAGTTCGTTTGCTTATCCTTGTGCTTGACATTTAGCTTTTGAAACACATATTCCATGGCAATGAAGGGTGACCGTTGATGACAGTCATTTGTTCTATACAGGAGGGATGGGGGGAGGGGTGGGGAGGGCCAGGCACCATCTCGATCATTGCCGACCTGTCACTTGTGACAATTAGTTGTATTTAGTGACGGATCAGTGACGACCAGCCTCATCGGTGACTCGCCTTTGGTGGCGGGCATTGCCAGTGACCCGTCAGTGATGATCAGTGGGTGCACAAACCGGCCATTGCCAATCAGGCGGCATCACTGACCGAACGGTGACATTCCGCCGTATCAGTAACCGATCGGTGACAACCAGCCATGCCACTAACCGATCAGCGGCAACCAGCCATGCTACTAACAGACCAGTAACAGCTAGCCATGCCACTAACAGACCAGTGACAACCAGCCATATCACCGACTGATAAGTGGCGACCAGAAATACCATCAGCTTACTAGAAACAATCAGTGATATCGGTGACCTGTCAGTGACGAGAAGTAACAATGAGTGACCTATCAGTGCCGACCAGTGACATCAGTCATCTGTCAGTGACGACCAACGGCCCGATTAATTTACGGCCATCACCCCTCCTGGCGCCACCGAGCTCCTTTCAAGGAACGGCTCCACGATGATCTCAGTTCCGCGCTTCAGCGCCCTCCGCACCACCATCTCAGCCAAGAACGCCAGCAGGCTCAGCAGCCAGCCGAACAGCAGCAGCAGGAATACGCCCTGCACGTGCTCCAGCGACAGGCTGTGCACGCCGGACGCCGACTCGGAGGTCCTGGCCACGTCGACCAGGTCCGACTTGACGGCCTCCAGCGACCAGCTGAACCAGATCGGGATGAGACCGGCCTCGCGCAGACGCAGGATCTTGCTATTGAAGAGGTCTGTCAGCATCGAGTACTTGGGCAGCGCCACGCTGATCATGAAGTTCTGAAAGCACTCCTTCATGATGTGCAGCTGCTTCTCCCCCGTGCGCGTCGTGTAGTACTTCTGGATGAGATAGATGAGCAAGTTCCGGTTCTCGATGTAGCCGTACTGACGCGCGTGCACGCGGCGGAGTGCGTTTTCGAAGTCGTAGTTGGGCACGTAGCGGCTGGCCAGCTGGCGGTCCCAGGGGTTGGCCGAGGCGGCCATCAGCTCTCCGAGCGTGCCGCCCCAGCTGCCGACCTCCACGCCCGTCTCTGCCAGCTCGCGGTGTGTGTCGAGCGGCGCAGGCGTGCTCGGGAACGTCAGATACGAGACGAGCTTGGCGCAGTAAGCGATGCCGATCACCATGGTAGCCACGCGCCAGGAGCCGTCGAAGGTGCGCACTGCGCCGCCGCGCGGATCGATGACGTGCGTGCGCGCCACCAGCACGCCGAAGTTGTAGAGCGCGGCGCGCTGGAAACTCGTGAACGTTAGCCGCTCGCCGCCGCCGCCGAGGCGTGCCAGTGCCACCAACGCCAGCACGCTGACGAGGAAGCTGACGAGGATGCCGACCCAGGCTGGCCACTGGAACGGCCGCGTCACGGCCAGCCAGTGCGGCAGCGGTGGCTCGTTCCACACCACGAAGCAGGCGTACTCCAGGTCGTACGGCCGCGTGTAGTCGATGTAGTTCCACCGACTGAGCGTGAAGAAGATGTTGGCGATGCCGAAGTGCGCGCGACTATTCTTGATGTCGCCCACCAGGCCGATCCAGGTGCCGTTCGGCAGCGCCTCGCCCCACTTGCCGCCATCGCTCGGCTCGCGCATGTCCAGCGTGAAGTTGTAGACATCGGCGAGCGCGCGCGCCAGCCAGTAGTCCATGCCCACGTGCGCGCCGTCCAGCCGTCCGTCCAGGTAGATGTTGCCCGGCTCGTGCGCAAAGCTGACGAAGCGCAAGCTGCGGCCGACGAAGTCCGGCGCGGGCGCGGCGAGCGGCGGCGCGCCGCGCCCCGGTTTCCAGCTGTGCACGCGTCGCAGCGTCAGGTCATAGCCCGAGTAGAGCCAGAGCGAGATGCGTGACACTGGCGCCCCCACCGCGCGCGCCACGTGGAAGAAGGGCAGGTTCCGCAGCAGGCCGCCAGAGACGCTGGCAGCCATCTCGCCGGCCGGCAGCGGCGTCAGGAGGACGTAGTGACCGCGGTGGTCCCAGATGCGGCCCACCAGATGTGTGATACCGCTCAGGCGGGACAGCTCGCCGGTGGAGCTGATCAGCAGCAGGAACAGGCGGCACGCGCCAGCCTGCACCGCTCGCGTGTGGCTCGTGTCGCTCACGTAACTGTCCACCGACGAGATCTGCGACACAGAGCACGATCGTGGCGTCACTGTGCCAGCCAGCCGTGCGAAACGTCAGTTCACGAACCCACATCATATCGAATTATTTTAACGGTGCTTGTATCAAAATTGCTCAGAGACACCAGTGTATTGGCTCAACACAATTTGCATTTATACCCGTCACTTCGACATCGGCAACGAATGTACGGTTAGTGGCTGAAACCACTTTGACTCCGGCAAACCGGGAAACTTCTGACAGCTGCATTATCTGTACAAAACAATCATGACCTTAACGGTTCGCTGCATCCCTCGCTCTGTGCATGTGGCAATGCTGCACGGTGTTTGGATGGATCAGTCTTTCTTTTGGACAGCCTTTGAGCAATGTAGTCAGGGTCACACAAACGAATAGGATCGAACTCTCATTCCAGCCACCAGTCTCATTCATTGCAAACTGGTTGGAAGATGATGACGAATAATTGGTAATTAATGTAAGAGGAATTTGAGAAATGCATTAGAAGGTAAGGCATTCTACCTAATTGTGACACCAATATATGGTTATAAGACACTGTTATATGATTTTGCAGGAAATCCATCCTCGCATGATAAGCCTCGATTTACAGCGCCACGTTCACGAGGGAACTAGGCCAGACCCTCATAAAGTGTGCTGGCCAGTGCGTTATGTGCCATACCAACCCCCCTGGCTCGCTCCGTGGCACGCCTTATCTGGGTTTAGCATAAATACTTTCAATCAGGTTAGATCATCTCAGAGAGCGGTGGTCTGGAGGGACTTATTCGTAGCCGTGGATTCCGTCCGAGCCTTTTTCTGCTTTCGGCTTATCAAGACCAGCCGCGGTGCGTCGACCACGCTATAATCCGTACTTATCGAGGATCGAGCTCTGTTGGCAAATCTGCGCACGTTGACGGCGGACCACGCAAGCCACAACAAAGCGGCTAGATCTGAATGTCGGATGCCGCGAAGGATGGGTGAGAATGTGGTCTGGTTCGACTGGGGTTGAGCTATCTCGGGCCACATACTATACAAATATTATGCAACGACAGTTTAGAAATCGTGTGAGCTCATATAGCCCACGGCCGCTCGGGGAGAAGTGTAACCAAGTTACGTCTACTGTCAGGCTTCCAATCCCTCCAGGGTACAAAGAAACTCGTAACGTCCTCGATCGCGCACACCGACGCCGCGCGAGAGCGGTGAGAACGGGCCCGGCCGGCGGCTCTGGGCCGCGGCTGCTTAGTCGGCTTTCCATTGACATTGGCTGAGTCGGAGCCCTGCCGGGGCCTCTGGCACGCTGGAGTCCAAGCACCCAAAAGAACCCAAGTCCAGCGTGGTGGCCGCTACACGATCGGTAGCGCCCGGGCAGGCTGACATTGGTCGTCCCACCCAGAGCACAAAGGGAAATTACCCAAGACCATGAATTAGTACCCCTGTGCGATCAAAAGTGTACAAACACGTTAACGAAAAGAGCCTCGATAGGAATGAAGAGTTCTCCGCAAATGAGATCAAAGGGAAAGATCCTTCGGTCAAGGTCGAGGGCTCCTGAACATCGAGTGTCTCGGTGCCTTGCCTTATGAGGATCCCAGCAACAGCACAAGGCCCTCAAAGTAAGTGGAAAGGATCGGAGACTAATGCGAAGGGCCTCTGAGCATTGAGTCTACCTTGGCATATGGGACCCGGAATAGCGAAAAGGGCCTTTCGGCCGAATAGGAAAAATCCATGGAGGAAAACCTGATCTATCAACAGTGCCCAGGCATGGAAGCAGATGGTGTCCGAAAAGCAACATTGGGCCTTACGAGGGAATGCAAAGACATCAAAGGCAACATGGAAAGCTCCTTGGCTGTCAGATTGACTCGGCAAGCGGACAAATAGGCCCCGGGCAGCAGCAGAATGCCTCTGGACAGCGTAGTGAGCCCCAAAATCTCCCCTCAAGCAACACCTTTTCAATCTGGAAATTATTAAGTTCGTAGAGAGCTCCGGCATGATCGGATGTGCCAGAGCAAGTTAATAGATAGGGCTCCCAACAACAGCGTAAGGCCCTCCATTCAAACGGGAACCAGTCCAAGACCCTATGTAAATGGCTCCTCGAACGATGGAATTTGCCCGAGCAGGTTATCAGAAGGTCCCCAACAAGAGCGTAGGGCCTTCCAATTAAATAAGAAGTACCCAAAACCCAGTGCGGAAGGCCACCCAAAAATGGAGGGTACCCGAGCAGATTATCAGGTGGCCCAACAGGAGTGTAGGGTCCTAAATTCAAACGCCAAGACCCGATATGCAGGGCCCCCGAACAATCCAGAGTAGCCAAGGAGGCAAACTGATGGTGCCCCCGACAAGTGCGTGGTGCCCTCCATTCAGATAGGAAGTAACCAAGGCACAATGTGGAGGGCCCCTGGATATTAGTGTGCCCGAGCAGGTCAACAGATGGGGCCCCGGCAAGAGCGTAGGGCCTTCCGTTCAAATATGGAATACCCACGACACGATGCAGACATGTAGACTTAAACATGTTTTTTACTCAGCCAGAAGCATTTTATCAGGTAATTCAACTTACGTCTTACCTGTATACTATAGCCTTGTCGTTCTCTCGCTAGATGTCGGGATACGTCATCGGCCTCCGCGGAGTATCCCTCGTCAAAAACGAGATTTGCCGCACAGTTCCCTTTCTCCCGCAGCACGGCGACTACGAACTCGGCGAGGACTGTGCTGGAGCTCGCCGTAGCGTTGGTCGACTGCTGCTGGCACGGCAGCGCTTGAAGTGCCAGGAGAAGGCACATCGCCGAGCCGGGGCCCATCTTCAGCTCTGGTAACCTGCCGCAGACAACTGGATCAGTGCGTCCTTCGTGCGAGATTCGGAAATTGCTAAATTGAGTCAGATCTTTCACGCGTGAGGTATTTTTACCGGATGCTTCACACGTCTAGCAAGAACAATTCCGCTGGCCTACTGGGCTCTTAGTTTTGCGTGTGGGTAAGAAGGGAACTGAAGCTCAGCGCGTGTTCGCTCTTCCTCATCATGCCATAAAACCTTAAGCATTTTTCTCAACTCGAACAGCAGTAACATCAAGCTGTCTAGATAGCAAGCCTTTCATGAACAAATCCACTAAACGGCATCTATCTGCATTCAGGCGTAAGGAGACCTTGGCAGCTTTTCATATGGACCTGGCAATTGAAGCTGGCTTAATTGTCTGTACTAGTTTTCATTAGACTCCAAAGGAAGGAATGGCCGCCGTGTTCGTAACCATAAGCATCACATATAGTCCATCGCCAGGAAATCGCCACGACACTGGGGTTAATGCTGAACTTTCGCGAACAGTTGGAAAACTTCGTAACTTGTTCAGCGCATTCGCGAGGAACATTATTCACATAGATAAGACAGTAGTAATTGCCTTATTCCTTGGAGAAAAACCAGAAGAATAGAGAAATGCATCGGTTAATATTTCGGCAACATGCCTTTATCGAAACAATAGCAGAAATAATAGCAATAGCAGCGACAGCTTCTGCCATTGTTTCGATGAAGGCATGTTGCCGAAATGTCAACCAATCTATTTCTCCATTCTCCTGTTTTCTCTCCGAGGAATGAGGCTATTACTATCGTCTTATCAGTTAGAAGACTCCTCCCACAAGCTTCCTAGGCTTGCTTGCTACACAATTGTGGCCATAGCGTATCCATATATGGATGAAGGTGTTGACCCACTACCTTGAGTTAAAAGCTGAAAAGGTAAAACTGAATGCAGGCGAGCTGGCTCGATAACATAACATTCTCCGACAGACATAGCGGGTGTATTCGCAACGACCCGGACGCAAAGCAATCATTCAGAGCGAAGTAGTTGACGCAATTAATGGCGTCATACCCAGTAGATTCTGCATCGTTTGATTCTAAGCAGCAAAATATGCGGTTTCTTTCATTACCAGCACGCGCGGGACGTGCGAGCGTGGTTTGGCAGAACACAGCGCCCTGCGTCACACCAACACCATGCACAGGCAGCTGGATCGTTGCAATCGTGTAGCCAGCCGACATGACCGTCGTGAAGACATGTAATGACGCATAGAGACCGCAAGGCCCAGAAGCGAAAACCGCGTTAACCGTAACATCGTCGGTGGCAAGGGACCCTCGCCAACATGCTTTTAACTGAGCTGGTAGCCAAGCCGACGAGCCCTTCACTTACATCAGGAGGAAGACCTTCTACAAGGCATTGACAGCGACTCTGGTGGATATGCTAGACTTCCGTGTCGCATGACTATGCGCCAATCTCTTTGCCTACGATATGCTACCGGACGCGAACTAAACCCTTCTATTGCATTGATGAACACCAGCAGCGCTAGGGGTGGTGATGGAATAAAGTCTCACATTGCCAAGGTCTGTCTATTAGTTCTTATGCCCACTTTGCTGCATATCATCAACAGCATTTTTCCTGTTGGATACTGTGATAACTGTGGGAGATATCACATTTGGCGTTGGTTGTTAGATGTGACCACACCTGGCAACTTCAGACCGATTTCACTGATTGCCAG